CAATGCAGCCCATGGATGCCTCCGTCGGGTCGGCCACAGCGTTTACTGGGATTTCTGTTCCCTCCGAGCTTGGTTTCATATCTACTTATCAAGTAGAAAATTCATTCTGGGGCTATTTTCAGAGCAAATACAATGACATCCTTAAGGATATATTAGTCACATCACTCTAACCCAATGAGACAAATAAGTTTCTCATCCTACAATAAACTCAGCACGTAGGAGATCAAGTAGTCTCTCAAACAGGACTGCTTGGATGAAAAATGGCATGAAAATATACAAATGACCAGGGTATATGGCGAGATTCAGAAAAAAAGTGGGTCAATTTGGGATCCCACCCACAATGATTTAGTTACACCAAATACTGAAATTTGTTTTCTTTCTTCTTTTTTCTAGAGACGAGGTCTCGCGATGTTGCCTAAGCTGGTCTTGAACTCCTGGGCTCAAGCAATCCTCCACCTCAGCCTCTCAAAGTGCTGGGATTACAGGTGTGAGCCACCACCCCCAGTCTGCAAAATATTTTCTTCTTGTACGCTGCTTCAGGATGTCCTAGCATCCAGCAAGCCCAGATCACAGCTGAGTTCCAGACCCGGAGTGTCCATGGGCTGTGTCCAGATGGAGATCCCTAAATTCAGCACATCTAGGTCAGAATGCATGACCCGTCCCCTCCTGCTCAGCGTCCCAGATCTCAGTGAGCGAGGTCATCATCCGTGTAAGAGATCCCAGTTATCCCAGAATCCTCCCTCTCCCTCCAAGCTTTCCCTGCTTCTTCCAAATCCCTAAGCCCCAGAGAGCCGACCTCCTCTCACCTTCAGTCCCGTCTCTTCCACCCCAACCCCACAAGCTCCTGTTTTAACCTGTCATTTCCTCATTTCTCCCCCAGATTCTCCCAGTGGCCTCCCAACTAATCTCCCAGCGTGCACTGAGTCCTGTTCTCCCATCCAGCCTTCTAAGTTCCACCACATCCCCTTCATGAAGCAATCCTGACCACGCTGTTCCCTTCATTAGAACCCCCCGATGGCTTCCCACAGTCTACAGGATGAAGTCCAAAGCGGGATACACATGGCCAGGCGCAGTGGCTCATGTCTGTAATCCCAGCACTTTGAGAAGCCAGGGCGAGAGGACTGCTTCAGAGGCCAGGAGTTCGAGACTAGTCTGGGCAAAATAGCAAGACCTCATCTCTACAGAAAAATGAAATAAAATAAAAAATTAGCTGGGCATGGTGGGCATGCCTGTTGCCCCAGCCACTCAGGAGGAGGATTGCCTGAGCCCAGGCTGTGGTGAGCCATGATTGTGCCACTATACTCCAGGCTGGGCAACAGAGTGAGATCCTGTCTCAAACAGACAAAGTGCGGTACACAGGGCCCTCCACAGCCCAGCTCTTCAACCGTAAATGTCCTCAGGCCTCACCTTGCACGCTTTGCCCTGGTCCCAAGAGCTTCTTGGAGCACCCAACACACCACCCCGTCTCCCCCTCCTGCTGGGCGGAACGTCCTTCCGGATTGCATTGTCCAGACCCACCTCCTCACGCCTGACCCCAAAGAAAGAACAGGACACCCCTAGCCTCGAGTCTCTGGGCATGCTCCTGGCACAGCTTCTATACATCATCATGCTTATTTAGTGACAAAACTGTGAGCTTCCAGAGGCAAGAGTTACACTTTACCTTTTAAGCTCAGTGCCTAGTGGTGCTGCCCGATGCACTGTGGGAATTTTTTTTGTTCTTTTTGAGTTGGGGTCACATGCTGTTGCCCCAGCTGGATTATGGCCCACTGAAGCCTCAAACTCCTGGGCTCAGACCATCCTCCTGCTTCAGTCTCCCAAGTAGCTGAGACCACAGGCATGCGCCACCACACCTGACTTTTTTTGTTTTTTGAAGAGATAAAGTGTTGCTACATTGTCTAGGCTGGTCTAGGCTCTAACTCCTGGCCTCAAGCGACTCTCTCGCCTCAGCCTCCCTAAGTGCTGGGATTATAGGCGTGAGCCACTGCGCCTGGCCATTGTGGGAATTTAATAATAAATATTTGTTAAATGAATGGATGTCTCCATGACAACATTCTAAGACAGGCTCCAAACGATTTTCTTTCCAGCTCACAGACTTTGCTTTCAGCTGCTTATGATGTGGAACTGCCTCTTATTCCACATGTAAATCATTTGCAGAAGACTGAAAAATAAATCAGTACAGGAGACAGATCAGCTCCTGATCCCCAGAGAAATCATGTCTTTGTTCTTTACTCCTGGAAAGAGGAGTCACGCTTCAAGGCACTCCAATAGCAGACTGAGAAACGATCAAAATGAGTTATTCCAAATCCCTGGCCCTCCCCAATTTGAAATGCCCTCTTCCTAGAAATGATTATTTGGGTGAGGCACAGAGTGAAGACACTGATTAAAGCAGAAGGACCACGGCACAAACAGGACTGGCTTGCAAAACCTACATCCAAGGCTGCTGCCCTTGTGGATGGAAACTAACACCCAGAGTGAAACTGACTTTCTCAGCTTTCCCACTTCTAATACCATGAAGAAAGCACATAAAAATGCAGGCAGCACACTCAGTTCAGCAGCAGACAGCCCCTTGCCCAAGGCTGACCCTATGCGACACTCTGGGCCCACCCAGAACTCCGTCTAAAATGTCAAATAGGCGTAATGTGTCTGCAGCATAATGTCACCAGCAAATAATTGCTTCTCCAAGTAATGATTTCATATTGGAAAATGAGCAATTTAAATAAATGTTTCATTAACATCGTGTTTTCCTGCTCGATGCTAATGTACCTAATTTGTTTTCCCAGATTCTCTTCCCTAGATTCATTTCCTGCAATCCTCCTCAGGACAATCTGAAACACGTTGGGTCCCTAATAGACAATCCCGAGAAGTTGGAAACAAACAACCGACCCAACAAACAAGCGAAAACCCAGACGCTCAAGAGCTACCGGGAGCTGTTTGTTCTCGAACACTTATTGCGTACGCTGTGGCTTCCCCTGTGAGTCACACAAAGGGCAGCACAGAAGAGACTGTCCTGACCCCTTGGGGGTGCTGGGTTTACACAGATGGTGGCCACACATCGGTCAGTGGGCACGGCTGGTCCCAGCCAGAGGCAAGTGGGAGAGATTCTGGAAGAATGAGAACCGTGCAATACTCTGTTTTGAGGCCCTAGAAGGCTCGTTCTCATTCTGCTTTGCTTATCTGTACAGGGATTCTTGCTATGTGCTGATTCCAAACCCCAAACATTTCAAGGATATTTCGAACATCTTTTATTAATAGCAACTCTTGAATATTTCCACAGCACACTGCTCAGGCATACTCCAACATGCAAAAGCAGGTACCATACAAGGGCTTGTTCTCCCAAACCTTGTGGGATATGGTACAATGCTTTAATCATGATGGTGTGGGGAGCAGGACTGGACACCACACTACTAAAAGGGCATCTTTAGGGGATATCCAACCACATCAGAATGGTTCTGGGAGCCAGGTATGCTGATTCATGCCTATAATCCCAGCAATTTGGGAGGCTGAGGTGGGAGGACTGCTTGAAGTCAGAAGTTCGTGACCAACCTGGACAACATAGTGAGACTCACTGTCTCTTAAAAAAAATGTTTTTTAATTAGCCAGGCACAGCAGCTCATGCCTGTAATTCCAGCAACTTGGGAGGCTGAGGAGGGAGGATCTCTCAAGCCCAGGTGTTCAAGGCTGCAGTGAGCTATAATCATACCCCTGAGCTCCAGCCTGGAAAACGGTAAGACTCCTTTCTCTAGAAAAAAAAATTTTTTTAAAATTAAGCACACCTCTAGTCCCAGCTATTCAGGAGGTTGAGGCAGGAAGATCACTGGAGGAGTTGAAGGCTACAGCTATGATTGTGCCATTGCACTCTAGCCCGGACAACAGAGTGAGACCTCGACCATCTCTTAAAAACAGAGACATTGGTTTTGTGTGCACCAGTATACTTCAGGGGACAACATTTTTATTTGGTTCTATGACACCTGGGGAGCAAACATCAAGCTTGGTGAAAAAGTGAAACACTGAAACGGTGAGTTATGGAAACTTCCAGTGCCAGATGTCTCGTCTATGGCAGAGCGAGAAAACCCTCAAAAAGCGTAGAAATAGCTGGGCACAGTGGTTCCCGCCTGGAACCCCAGCACTTGGGGAGGCCGAGGTGGGAGGATCCCTTGAGTCCAGGAGTTCAAGACCAGCCTATATAACGTAGTGGGACTTCACCTCTATAAAACATCACAAAATTAGCTGGGCTTGGTGGCAGGTGCCTGTGGTTCCAGCTACTTGGGAGACTGAGGTGGGAGGATAGCCTGAGCCCAGGAGGTCGAGGCTGTGACGAGCAGTGATCGTGCCACTTCACTCCAGCCTGGGGGACAGAGTGAGATCCTGGGCTCAAAAATAAATTTAGAAAAACATCAAAATTAAAAAAGAAATGTTTAAGTGTGGAAATCACACAGAGGGACTGGTATTCTGGGCTCTGCCACATATGAGCCGCAAGGCTTTGAACACTGGCTCTATTTTGTGAGCTTCCTTTCTTTATTTTAACATAAAGTAATAACAACAACAGCAACAATCACCATACTTGCAAGCCGTGCTGGGACCAGAGACCATTTACTGAGCGCTTCCTAGGCAGCAAATGCTGCAGTGGGCACTTTACAAAGTGCCCTGGGTAGGCACCAGCTCGCTTAACCCCGAGAGCCCCCTTGCCAGGGGGATACGGTAACTCCCCTTAACAGAGGAGACTCACGGCTTGGTACCCGGCCAAGATCACCCGGCTGTCATGAGTGGCAAGGTCTTGGTTCAAAACAAACTTGGAAATGATCACCACCTCCAACAACGCCACAAACCCCCTAAGACGTAACAGATCCCAGTGGTAAGTGCCCCGAAAGCGCTCCGTGGACGGCGGCCTCACAGGGCCAGCATGTGGTGACATCCTTGTCCCCAGGGAAGCCGGCCCCCGGCAGGTCTGGAGGCAGAACACCTGAGCAAGGCGGGACGAGGGCCACCCTTCCAGCACTTACTTTCTCAAAACAGCGATCTCATTCTCTATGCTGCTTTCCTTGCCCTTCAGCGCCTTCTTGGGGATGCACTTGACCGCGAAGAGTTTCCCGGTCGCCTTCTCCTCGGCTAGAACCACTTCAGAAAAGGCCCCGCTGCGAACAAAGAGGGAGAGAGAAACACTGAGGCCCAGGGGTGTTGCTTCACGATGACGCCCCGCCGCCGATCCCGCCACCAAAGTTGGAAAAAAACAATAATGGCGGCCCAATCACTGTTGTTACTGTTACTTTTTTCCAGCATGGCTCCTTACCACGCCGCGCGTCTTTACGCCAAAAAACACACCTAGGCAAGCGTGCCTCGTGCAAAGGGACACGCGGAGGTCGACGTGGGTTGGGCCACCTGTCGCCCACTGCCAGACATGGTGCCCCCAAGAGGCACCTCCTGCAGAAAAAGTTCAGAGCCTTCTGCCGTTCCCACCCCTCCCACCCCCGAGTGGACTAGAAAGTCACGTCCAGATTCCGAGGTCCCCAGAGGCCCTTCGTCCAAAGGAGATTTCAGAGCACTTGGCAAACACTGGCGGACATCCCTCGGAGGGGTGAGGGTGCGCGTCCGTGTGCATTGGCGCTGTGGGTGGTGTAGACACAGGGTGATTAAGTGGTCGAGTTGTGCAAGTTTTCACTAAGCAGCGTGTTTCCTTTTTAAACCAAGCAAACAAACAAGAACCCCACAGCAGGAAAGACTGTCCTGCCTGAAAATGTACCTTTAACTCTGTGGCAGCAGAGCCAGAAACTGAAATCAGCATGTTTGGGACCAGGGCGTCTGTCTCCCCAGAAGGACGCCCGTGGTCAGGGATTCCCCAAGCCAGTGTCCTGGGGCCACCTCCTCCCAGTAGGCCCGGCCTGGGTGCCACACTCTCCTCTAAGGACTCTGACACAGAAACAGCCTCCTCCACTCTGTCCAGAGCTCAGCAACTCTATTTTTGCCCAGGCCAAAGAAAACACCACAACCCACTGTGTCCCAGTTGCAGATTTCAGGGATAACGCTTATTTCCTCAGAGAGATCCCAAGTATGGTATCTACACAATCAGAACTCCCATTTCAGGAGACAACTCCTGTATTGAAAGATACCACTGAGGCTGGGTGCGGTCGAGAGAGAAGAGAAGAGAAGAGAATAGAAGAGAAGAGAAGAGAAGAAAAAAAAAGAAAACCAGCCAGGTGTGGTGGCACATGCCTGTAGTCCCAGCTACTCAGGAGGCTGAGGAGGAAGGATCGCCTGAGCCCAGGAGGTCGAGGCTGCAGTAAGCTGTGATCGCCGTGATTGTGCCATTGCACTCCAGCCTGGGTGACAGAGTAAGACCTTATCTCCAAAACAAAAAAACAAAAGAAAAAAAAGAGCTTCCTGAGTGTTGCAGATGCAGGCTGAACAACAGTGAGGCTCCATACAAGCGGGCACCTGTCAAAGGGGACGGGGCAGACCTAGACCAAGGGCTCTCCATCAACAGTTCGGAGCAGGTCACAGAGCTAAGGCTGCAGTCCCATTCTCTCAGAATGAAAGTCAGCCTGCAAACTCGCTTGGGAAACAGTGACAGCAGGGGCTCAGATAAACATGTGTATACCGCTGTTCACAGCGGCATTATTCACAACAGTCAAGAGGAGGACCCAACCCACGTGTCCGTCAGCAGATCAATGAATGAACAAAATGGTCAACACGTACAATGAAATCTTATTCTGCCTTAAAAAGAAATGGAAGCCAGACTTGGTGGCTCAGCCTGTCATCCCAGCACTTTGGGAGGCCGAGGCGAGTGGACTGCCTGAGTCCACAGGTTCGAGAACAGCCCCGGCAACTTGGTGAGATCTCATCTCTACAATAAATCAAAAATTAGCTGGGTGTGGTAGCATGCACCTGTAGTTCCGGCTACTTGGAAGGCTGAGGTGGAAGGATCACTTGGACAAGTATGAGTCCACTTAGACAAGGTCCTTTGCATGATCAAATTCATGGGGACAGGAAAAAAAATGGTGGGTTTCTGGGCCTGGGGGGAGGAGGAATGGGAAGCGATTGTTTGGGAAGATGAACAAGTTCTAGAGACGGATGAGGTCGTGATTCTACAACACTGTGGATGGACTTAATGCCACCGAACTATACACTTAAAAATGAATACAATGGGCCCTGCACGGTCGCTCAAACCTGGAATCCCAGCACTTTGGGAGGCCTTGGTGAGAGAACTGCCTGAGCCCAGGGGTTGGATACCAGCCTGGGCGACTTGGCGAGGCCTCATCTCTACAATAAATAAAAAGTTAGCCTGATGTGGTAGTATGCATCTGTAGTTCCAGCTACTTGGAAGGCTGAGCAGAAGGATCGCCAGAGCCCAGCGGGTTGACGCTGGGGTAACCATGAATGTGCCGCTGCACTCTAGCCTGGGTGACGGAGTGAGACTCTGACTCAAAAAAAAAAAAAAGAATACAACAGTAGGATTTATGTTTTGTGATATATACTTTACCACAATAAAAATAAATAAAACGCCTGCCTGGTTCTACTCATTGATATCGCCTGAGGATGAACACACTGAAAAGATTTGATCAACCTTTTTCCTAAAGAAGGAAATTACATGAATAATTGTAGGGTGCCATAATGGTGCGGACCACTCGATGTTTACGAAGGACTTTGGCATCTATCAAGGAACCCAATCCTCACAGCAACCCCGCCCGGGATACAAGAAGTTACTGTCACAACCATTTTACAGATGTGGCTACTGAGTCCAGTCACACACAGATAGGAAGCGGGCGGAGGTCCTTCTCGATACATCAGCTGGGTGGATACATGTTGCCATAATGGCCTGTATCTCAGGAGCACCACAGGGGACGGCAGTGCAGGGGTCAGTTCCTGTCGCTGGGTGAGCTCTCATCACTCCCAAGCATGCACATCCACCCCCACTTACCCTTTAGGTAAACAACGTGCAGGTCTCTACTTTAAGTTCTCCAAAGACAAGGCTCTCTAGCCTTCTTAGGGGATGTAAGATTAGCATAAAGTATGATTGTTCTTACAATAAACAGGAATCACTTGAAGACACTTCCTTTGTCCCACAAAAGCTAATTAGAAGCATCAAACACAAAACAAAACTCACAAATGAACAGTTTGAGCACTTTCAGTGTAATCACACAACACAGTTATGAGGGTGTGTGTGTGTGTGTGTGTGTGTGTGTGTGTGTGTGTGTGTGTGTGTGTGTGTGTGAGAGAGAGAGAGAGAGAGAGAGAGAGAGAGAGAGAAATTGAAAGGTGGGGAGGGGCTGAGCTAGCGACAGGAAGGATGGCAGCAAGGAAGATGATCTGAGAGCCTATAAAGCCTTCACACAACCCAAGAACACAAATTCCAAACGACAAAGAGCAGGGGCAAAGAGTGACAATGTTTTAAAAATACAAAGAGGACAAAGCGGGGTGCACCTTTTCCATGTAAAACAAAGAAGTCGCACATTTATTTGCTGGCTTATTTATTTGCATTTTGTATTTTTATTCTTAGCATTGTACATGTAAAATGGACTGGCCGAACACTCCACCCTGATCAAAGCTGCAGTGGCATCTTGAAATGGACACTCCGGTGGGGCCCACACTGCTCTCTGCAATCTCTTTCCCTCACCACCACTTGACTGAAACCCCCAGGGGTCTTCCAGTTGCTAAACCCAATGGCTTCTTCTCACCGCTTGTCCTGCTGGCCTTTGATGTGGCAGCCGATGGCCTTGACCTCCTTCCTAAAAACTCCCTTCAAGGCGCCACAACCGGCTCTCCTTCTGCCTTTGAGTCCATTTCCCTTCTCCCCCGCTTCAAGCATCAATGGTGCCCAGGGTTTCCTCTGCAACTCGCCTCCTGGAAAACCTCAGCTGTTCCCATCATTCCCACCCCCACCTGTCCCGATGGCCTCCTGATCTTTATTATCTATATTTTAATCTCTCTCATGTGCAAACCTCACCTTCCTGACTGCCCACGAGGGCCCTGGTCAGCCTCTCGAGGGCACGATAACCAAAGGGAAGACAGTCTCTTCCGCCCACAATTTCTCTCTCCGATGATCTCTCTCTCATTTCTACCATTGGAGAGACCTGCCTACTCCTCTAATTTCCATCACCAAGTCCATTCAGGCCTTCCACTAAAAACACTGCAAGGCCTGTCTGTCCCTCACATCCCTTCACCACTACTCAGATCCGAATCTGGGGTATTGAGCATCCGTACTACTTCCCCATTTCCTCCTGGTCCCTCTGCCCCCAGCAAGCCCACCTGCTTGCTACCCGCTACTGGAAGGACTTCTCTAAAACAAAAATCGGATTATGGCACAACCCTTCTTAGATTTTTGAGGTTTCGTGTCTGTGGGATAAAGTTCAGACTGCTTTGCAAGTGGCCTATGGCACTCAAAGCCCTTCCAAACTTGACCCCACTTTGTAGACGCATCTATTACTTTGGCTCCAGTCCCCCACACAAGCACTCCCTACCACACGCGTCACCGCAACTCAACCATTTCCCAAACAAGTCCATGAACTTTCACACCACTGGCCTTTGTTCAAGTTCTGCCCACGTCCTCCTTCCTTGAATGTCACTCTTTCTGCTTGGCAAAATTCCATTTTTTTAAAGGCCCAGGTGGTATACTTCCTCCTCTTTTAAGGCTTTCTCAATTGTCTCTCACCCAACAGAAAGATACCCTGACTGGGAGGAACGTGGTATAGACCTACCTCAGCTTCCTGTGAGGTGCTAGCCTGCAAGCCAGCAGGAATTGGATGGGGTGGGGGTGGCAGGGCAGGCCAGAAAAGCTTGGAATTTTTTTTTTAAAAGTGTGTATTTACTCTTACATATTTAAATTTCAGTCACCTTCAAAGTACTCTCTGTTTGATGCAATACACCTGAGACAATTTTTCCACTGCTCAAAACAGTTTATGAACTCGTCTACTTTAATGCCCTTTAGTGTTTCTGCCATTTTTTGTTTGTTTCACCTCTTCCACATTGGCAAAATTTTTCTCTCTGAGGACTTTTTTTCACCCGGGATACCAAAAAAAAGTCACTCCAGGCAATGGATTGAATAGGAAGGGTGAGGCATGGGGGTCATGCTGGGTTTTTTGGTCAAAAACTGCTGAACACTCACTCAGCGCAGTGTGGGCAGGTGCACACATAAAT